CTGCCCTAACGTATGCATCAGAAACCTAATCGCTACGTAAGAAGGATGGAAGATCACTTGGCAGTATTGAACGCGCAGTGGAAAGGTCGATGCTAGGAGTAATCCCGTATCTCGGAAATGAGAGAAAGGATCCGAAGTTCCAACCTTCGTTGGCGATCGAAGATCAAAGACGCCGATCTTCACGCCAGAATATCAAAAATTAGGCGGGCTGGATACGTGATACGCTTCAACGACAACCGACGGAGGATAGCCGTCACCGGCTTAATTCCTCGAGATATCAAGCGCTCCATTGGAAGACCATCGACCCGACGGTCCGATTTCTTCACAAAAAGACTAAAAGAAAGACATGAAGCTCACCGAATCCCTAGAGCGAAGAAAACCCACTGAGCTACTCTTAAGCGCGATAGGGAAAAATGGAAGTGTTGCTGGTATCCGCTCGAGTCACTCGACGATCAACGGGACGAAGGGTGAAAGGTGAAAGGTGATGTCTTACCGCGAATTATTGTATCGACCAAATATGAGTCGATTTACCTCTACTAGGCTGAGAGTGGAGTCGAATACATAGAGTTTTTCGCGGAGTGATTAAAGTTAGTACTATAGCGACACGCCAGCTCCATTTCCGCTCGCGCGGCGAGCAGTTCGTGTGCCGAGTAGTTGGTGATGATGGATATCGGGATTAGAGTTACCGGTGCGATGTCCTATCGCGACGTTTCACAGCAAGTTTTTTACAAATGATTAGTATTGAACGTTCTTTCATAGACGTGATTCTAGCGAATGGAGCCCTCAGTCAATCTAACAAATCGCTACTGTTGATACGACACATAGATCTATGGATTAACAACACGTATCTAACTTCTTCGTATTTCTTTCGACGATGTTGTAAGAGTCAGACCGGAAAACATATTTTCTACAGCAGGCGTTTCTAGGAAAACTTATATAGAATTAGATGTTGTCACTTTTGCGGAACCTGTGTGTTGATTCCGTGTTACTCCATGAATCTACGTATCTTACCAAAGAGTAATGATTTGTGAAACAACTGAACGTTTTTTTTTGCTATAGTCATGTTTATATGAGGTCCTTCAATACCTATCGACACCAAAAAATATGTTGTGAAGCGTCGAGGTAGGAGATCGAACTAGCAGCCTTCTCCCAGGTGGCCGCACCACCACTAATCACTCGGTACTACGCCGCTCGTGGCGAGGCGGGGCTAGTGGTGTGCCCCTATCGGACCCAAAAGGTCAACGCTAAATGTTTTGTCTTTAACTTTTTCCTGTTGCCCAGAAACATAAAGTCAAAGAAACTACAAAGTACCGAAAAAACTGGACGGAGTGCTACTTCGTATCCCAAGCATCGATTACTTTAAGAAGCGAATATTTAAACATTTCCGAATATGAGACAACTCCACCAAGACTTACGCGTCCATGGTATGGAGAAACTGATAAATCAACGTTATAGGATGGTTTACCGATCGGCGTTTGATGCTTGACATTTACGATATTTGCGTAGACGGCGTCAATGGACTGGTTTCACCACCGATCTCATCATAAACAGATACCGCCGTCGTCTTCGTTCTTGTTGTTGTTGTTGTCGTATGCGAACGATGATAACGAGCGTTACAACAATTTGAAAACGATCCCAGTTCAGTCGATTATAAAAACGTCGTCATTTCATCCTTTTACATGAATATATGTGAGCTTCCCACATCAGTGCGAAGGAAACTAAGACTGTGACTCACACTACATAATGAGGAAGATGATTCATGGTAAAATAGGTATACAATCATTTCAATGCCACATGGAGTGGTAAACATCGGAGACTAATATGTGGAATTTCAGGAAAACTTAAGTAGCAGACTTGGAAGGGGAAATCACAAGTGTCTTTTTTTGTAAGAAAAGGGCATCAATACTGAACAAAATTTTTTTACTGTATAAAATATCAGAAATCTTCTGTGTGAAGTTTTTGAAATTACCACTAACAAGATCGTTGGATGTATAATCAGTTCTAAGAGACAGTAAATGAGAGTTAGGAACTCTGTGATCTCTAATCAACCTATTATGAAATATCGTAAATGAAAACAGCTATCCTGTTTTCATACTCAGTTGCATATTATTCATCATATTATACTGTGACGAAAGAATTCTCACTTATATCTGTAGCAACAATTTCGAGCGGAGTGAACTGAAATGATTAACCGTGCTTAAACTTTTGGCACTAGAGCAATAAACAACGAATTTATCAGCCACAAATAAAAACAGCTTCGTTCATCAAAACAAAGGGATAAAATAATACGGAAGATCAAATGGAGTAGGGGCGTTGTTTGTTTCTTTTTTTCCGACCAATGCAGGGAATATCGTAAATCGAGTTCAGTCAAGTGGTACCAACAAAAAGCGACGAAATAAGACGATTCAATAAGTATTTGTTCGCGTATGAATTTCACATATTTATAAAAAACGATATGCATTATAAATGAAACCATTCTTATTTGGTCTTAATAGATCTTTCTATGAGTTTTGGCACTACAGCAATAAACACCAAAAATTTTCAACCACAAGTAATTAGAATTGCTATACGACACTATTCAAAATATGCGCCATCAACCTGAACACATTTCTGCCATCTCTCAGGCAACAAGTCAAAAGCGCTTTGCGTAAAATTTTGTGAGCGATCTTTCGGTTAACAAGACGATATTGTTTCTGTCGGTGACCAGAATTTCATGGTAAGAGCGTGTGGCGTATTGTTTAGAGGTGATCTGCGTCGCACACGAGGGCAATTGGATCGATCGCGCGCTCACGGCTCACCATTCATCCATTCGGGGTCGGTAAAATGGTACCAGAGTGGTCTCAGACTTATCTGAGAGAATAAGCATTGATGACTCGCTACAGCGGGGGCCACCGTGAGTTATTATAAAGGCCAAAAATGCATTCAATCACCTCAAAACGAAGTCATAAATTATACACGAATGCATGGCGCGCCTCTCAGGGATTGATCAACGCCGAGGGTTTTATTCTTTTTATTTACAAGCAAACTTTACTAATTAGAATAGAAGTTTTTGTAATCTATAATATTCTATCAAGGACAGAATTCATCTTATTTTATCACGGTAAAATTGTGATTTCATGAATTTGATAAGACGCTTTTCGTTTTTTTTTTCAACGCTAGACATAAGGTAAGTGGAGGCGATCAGGCGAGGACTGAGCAAGAGAAACAATTTTGTCGAAATCAAGTGATGCGCTCCAAAATGCGTCATCTTTTACTCTCTTCAATTATAAATGGCGACTAATACTAGGCAGTGTTTTCTCGGAAGCCTGAATTCTAAATAAACAGTTCCTAAATCAAAAATCGGTAGCAAAATTCTTTCTTAACGTTTACCAAGCCCTCAAATTCTTTAATGAACTCAAATGCATGGTGCGCTAAATCATGATGTATTGTGAGAATCAATCACTACTAACAGGATTGCAGGCCAAGAATTCCACTATTTTCACCTTGAGACCTTAGTGTTACCTTGGTAACGTGGTGAACGAAACGCATCATTTCGTCATGAGAACATCAAAGCCTAAGAGGATCCATGCAGTTTGCCATGCTATAGAAAGCTTAGAATTTTTGGTGTCGCTATGAATATCACCATAGTTTATGCCACTAAAAAAAACACAGAAACTCTCTAAATTACGTTTGGATAATATGACTCAAAATGCTGATGCTTAACCTTATCAGCTCTCAGTGTGGCAAATATATCTAACAGAGAGTAATCCATACCTAAATTCTTCAACCAATTTGTTCTCAATTAGCAGAAATTAGGCGCCGTACTATAACTCTTACACTTATGATTTCTCAACCATCCCGACAGTCACTTACAATTAGTTCTCCAAAACACATCACCCGAATGATAGGTGACAGACTGTACAGCCACCCCCGTACCGAAGAAACCAGTTTGAAGATTCTTCTAACGACAGAACAGGCGACATAAAGCATTAACGTGTTGTACCGATGAGATGACCGATCGACCGACCGACCTGGCGACCATTCGACCGACTAGAGTGAAAAAACTGAAGTCGTTCGAATTTAAAGTAACAGATTTATCATGAATACAGAAAGAATATAATACGCTTCAATAACGTTGTTTGAGTTATTCGATTTACACTAATAGAATCCAGTCCTGTTTGATTTGAATGCGTGACATGTCAAATTCGCCTTTCTAAAAGCTTTGTATTTCAAGTTATTTACTTTTATAGCTATGTCGCCAATTTTCAGCAAAAGACTCTCATTTAATCAGCAATATGAACTTTACAGACTTAGCTCTACTCTTGGGCAAATATACTGGATAGAGTTACACTAAAAATCAGTAATGTTTCTGTTGTGTATAATTCTTTTTTTTTTCGTTTCGTTTTCGATATATAGGGTTTCTCCTAATATGAACGAAGTCTGTCAACAGCAAGACGTTCTGCCATTGTAGTCGAGGTGGTGAGCGTGCACGTATGCTTTTTCTTCAGGAACGTTCATGCTTCACATCACAATGTTATGGGCAATTTAACTTTCAAGCTTGACGTGATAACGTCGTATGTCAACGACGGTAATCTCAAAGTACACCGATTTATTTTCAAGTGTGAAGGCCTTGTTCGATGATGTTCAATCGAAAGTGATAGAAAAGAGGGTTTATGAAAACATGCAGGATTAACTTTTGCTTTACGTTGGTACAATACTACAGACACTTAATGGTGAAAACACTAATGGTTTATGATATTTCGATCTAACTCTGCATTTTACCATCTTAACGCTTCAGTGCCTAGGATTACGATTAAGGTTTTGAGATTCAAAAAAATGAGAACATGGCGAAACATCATGAAAACTGATGACATCGATCGGCGGAACAATTTCATCAATACTTGTTAAGTCAGGCAAGTGCTAAATCAACAAAAAAAAAATCCAAAAACTCTTGTTTTCACTTTTCGCAGTGATATGATGTTTTGAATATACCTAGGGAAACTAAGTGGTAAGCAAAAACTCAACCCAGGCCGGAGTTGAACCCGCGTTTCACCCATACAGGGAACGCGTGCTACCACTACACCACCGAGGCCACTGCTTGCCCACTACTCATTCTTCAATATCTCATTATTGTAGCTATCGGCCACTAACCTCCAACAGGTTTGGTCGAATAAGCAATGTCGCCATATAAACCAAGTTAAGCTGACAGCCATCATGCTTATTTGAATCAAAGAATTTTTATGTTGACAGAAACACAAGAGGTTTATTAGCCGCTTTAGTTTAATGAGTCTCTCCTGGAACGGCAAGTGATAACTGTTAAACGATTTTTCTCTTGAACATGAAAGTTGATTGGCAGAAATATTTGTTGAAATTTTCAGCAAACAAATTGCAAAAGGATTTATTTAGAGAAGGAATAACTGTGTCAGAGATTCACAGAAAAATCAACTGCAAGCTAACTGCCAGTGACAGTTACAGGACACTGTGCGTAATTTGTGATCATTCTAGAAAATGACTGTGCACATGAGATATCAATCTAACAAAGAACGGTATGTTAAAAAAGAATCAAAACTCAGAGCTTACTGCACGCTCAAGGTGAAGATCACCTGTTAGTTCACGTGAATCATAATGGCCTACTAAGCGCTTGATTATAATGAGTCTCTACTGGAACGACAAGTAATAGTTTCTAATGATTTTCTTTCAAACTAGGAACTAGGAGTTTGGGTGAAGTCGAAAACATTAATCATTTGGAAAAATACCATTTTAACAAATTGAGAAACTTCTACGGTATAGGTAATCCCTTTGAATGCTTCTACGCGAATGCCTGTGAGATTAAACTACGTCATTCCGAGACCAATATCGTGTCACAAAGGAGAAGGAATCAGTTAAACTGATTCCTAAGAGATCGTTTAGAATTTTAGAAAAGAATTCCGAAAAAAGACAAAGAAATTGAAGTAGTAAGAAGAAAGGATAGAGTGAGGACCTAAGAAAATAGGAAACATATGCGACTTCCCAAAATCAACAGTTGAGAGCAGTTCTTAATTTCCTCTACAGAACTACCTATTACTATAGGACTTGCCGTTGTAATTAGGTGTATCAATTCATTTCATAAATCTGTTACTATTGCACTGCCTAAGGCGAACAATTGAATATATTCGATAGCAGCCAATTTTGGGTGGCTGGGCAAAATTCAAATCATGTCATTAGCGCAAAGTCGTATTGCATAATAGAATCATTACATAATTAGTATTGAGTAATCAATGAAAACAACGAGCTGGTTTTGTGAAACCGTCATTCTATTGTTTGCATGGGAAAATGACTCAAAGAACTCAAAAATGCCTCTGAATGGCCAAATGTGAAGGATTGTGTGTACCGAAATCTGCGCCTGCATGGTGTGAAAGATGTGGACATGCTGAAATGTACATACGATCGCGGATGCGTTAATACAAGAATTTTCGAGTGAAAGATATTGCTACATATGCTTCATAACAGCCGTAAGACATGCAATCGACAATCAATCACACCGAAAGAACGCAACATCAAGTGATCATTTCACTTGACGTGGAGTGATACTTCTTCGGCGACGATTCCTGACAATATTGAAATAACTAGCCAAAAGGCATGTGGTACTGATGAGGCTTGCGAGAAAGGCGAAATGTACATATACCACTACAGATGCCATATCACACCTCTGCAAAGCTCGAAACATTCTACCAAAAAAGAATCTTACGTCACCACAAGACGTAATTCAGGAAGTTTTAGATCACTTTTACGTCCATAACACTAGATTATAATCGGAACTAGCGAGATTGCGATTGGAACATCGCTTTCAGCAATGGAGTCGCTAGTTCGACCCTGATCTAACCAATAACATATTCTCTCTATCCGAATTACTAATGTGTTCAAGTTTGTTTGTGAAATAAGGCAATCTTGAAAAGTCACTTGCTTAGTAGCCAAAGAAATCACGACTGAAACTTTAATAATTTTGTTCTTACTTTCACTCTTTCTCATTCTCCTTCTTCATGCCATTTTGCTCTCTTCATCTCAATGCACCTTTCAAAAGTTCCTCTATAACTTTTATAGCCTTTCACTAGCATACTGAATCATGTCATTTGATCTTTGTATCTTGAGACTGCGCACATTATCATAGAATAGAAAGGACCGCATACGTATGTTCGCCTAGAGAAGTGTTCTCATATTGAAAACTTGACAACGAAAAGTTCAACGTTATAATAAACAACTGCAGCACTCCAGTTGTTCAAAAATTCAAAATTATAGGTAAAATGAGCATGTTACTAGATTTGATTTAGTCAGATGATAGGAATCAAAAGTCCCTGAAATAAATTGAATTTCTGCGAAACCTCTCATTAATCCATCAACGTGCACATCATACCATTTCTCACAAGGTCTCGTATCCGTAGGAAATTAGCCACCAACTTCACCTTACAGATACCGCTTGAGGAAACGGCAGTCACATTTTGATGCAGGTATTCTAATCTATCAGTGGCATCAGAAGCTCAAAAATAGATAAGGAATACTATTGCGGAGTTTTTTTTTCATCGAACTGGAGGCGGATAGGCAGGCACATGGGTGTATAAAAAGGATAAAAGGATAAAGCTCTCGGCGTTGATCAATCCCTGAGGGATGCGCCATGCGTTCGACTTCAATTTTTAACTTCGTTTGAGGTGATTGAATGCACATCTGGCCTTTACAATGACTCGCGGTGGCCTCCCGCTGAACCGAGTCAGTGCTGCTTATCCTCCCACACAAGTCTGAGACCTGTCTGTACCAATTTACGACCCCGGAGGGATGGATGGCTTGGTGAGCCATGGCGCCAGATCGAACCAGTGACCTCGTGTGCGACGCACTGCACTTCTAATCGCTGTGCCACATGCGCTCTTACATGGGTGTATATACAACATAAATATATACAATATATACACAAAACATATACACATATATGTACATACATATGTATGTACATACACACGTATAATACGTATATATTTATATACATAAATATACACGTATATATATTGACATATATATATGAATCTACATATACGTATATATACACATAATGTACAAATATACAAATATACGTTCATATGCATACGTACATATGTATACATATATATGTGTATGGCATATATATATATATATACATATTTGTGTATCTACGTATATGTCATGTCTTATTTGACCCGTAACAGTTTTTTTAACTTTGCGAGTCCCAGCTCTTCCAACATTCCAATCTCCTCGCCTTCATCGCTTGATTGAGATTTCTCTTCATGAATGTCGTAAAAAACTGGTTTAGCACATCTTTCATTCTGGAGGGCCAGAATAAGGGTAGTCGTTGAGGGTACGCTACTAACTGCCGCAGAGTGTTTGGGTGGGATTAACCCCGCGTCCACCCGCGTCGAACATCACCAAGCCACTCGACCACAAATCCCATATATATATGCATGCATATATATGCAAATATATGTTTATATACACGTATATGTGTAAATAAATGTATTTGCAAAAGTATATATATGCATTTACATTTATATATGTATTGGGGAACACCGTTCTACGACACTCAAGAATACGAAAAAACTATTGAATGTTAGAGGTACTGTGATCCGTACAGTGAAAAAAACATTATGAAAATGGGCAATAAAGTACCAAAAGATATTTATGATTTACATAAATTCTACTACTACATTATCACATGATCTGAAACCATATGCGTCACTGGGTGGATCCCAGCACTTCTAGCATTCGATTCGCTTCTTTGCATCAACCATATACGAGGTCTTCAACTATCCTTCGAATGCATTCAGTTGCTGCTTGAGGATCTACTCCTGTGTTCTCCACTAATACCGCTGAATTGTGATCGAGCCAACTCACCCTAAGATCTTAATGCAGTCATTCTAGGGTGTTCCCGTGCGAATTAGCTCGGTCCGAACAAGTCTATCAACAATTGACGCCTGACTAGGGATCATCGATCTACTGCAATTTACTGTTTAGATCGTCAACTTACCTCGGAGATGCTTAGTCGAATGCATCTCATCGCCCACTGATCGTGATGATTTACTCGAGCGTGCCGCATTATTATTTTCATTTTCGCTACCGCGTGCAAAAATAGCCCAATGACATCTCGTCGCTCGACGAATTCGTTGAGCATCCTATGATTGTTCTCGATTTTTGTAAAAAAAAGTTGGACCATCAAATCGGTGGTTTTCCTGTGGTGCGTTTGACATCCCGAGAAAGTCGGTAACGGGTCTTATTTATCGGTTGTCGTTGAAGCGCATTACGTCTCCGGCCCATCTTGTCTTCGATAGTCTGGCATGTAGAACGGCATATTGATTTTCGGTCATTGACGTAGGTAAGGACTTCGAATATTTCTTCTCCTTACGAAATACGGGATACTCCTACTATTGACTTTTCGACTGCTCGTGCATTAGCAACAATTGGTCCTTGTTTACGTAGCGTTCAGGCATCTGATGCATACTTAGAACAGGGGTAACCGTTGAATAGTAAAGGTAGGCACGGGACGGATGTTCTTTGTTCTCTTTATTACATCTTCGATGCTCTTACACGCTCGTTACTATGAGATTATACGGAGACCAATCTTTCCATAAGCGCTGTCGAAATCGGGCAAAATTCGTTCCGTCTATCTGGGGCTTGGTGTTTCAAGGACCATAACATTAGCAAAGATGGTCTATTTGTCGACCGTCGATTTCCACTCCCATATTGTTCTATTCAAATGTTTACAAGAGGCTTTGGAAGGTGTCGTGAATAATTTTGACAAAATAGTATCGCTTTGCGAAGCCCACTTCCTATGTCGATAGTGATTTCGTCATAAATTGGTGATATTTTGGTTGTGATTCTTCTATGGCGCAAAAAAGTTGTTGTATACTGAGTAAGGACGCGCTGGCTTCCAGAGCTTCTATGACAGTTTCTGTTTTAAGTAAATCAAAGGCTTCTTTAAATTGATGAAAAAGAAACACTGAGAGCGATCTATGACTTCTCGTAAAACTACAATGAGTGTTGTTATCGTGTGGATGTGGTCTATGGTACTGAATCTTTTTGAAGCCCTTTTGTCCGC